CATCCATGCTTTTCACATGGTCAGCTTTGTATGGCCTGTTCATCCGTCGGAAAACCTTCTGATTTATTCATATAAGCACCAGACGGACAAACTAAGAACATGGTATGCCCGAAAGCCCTTCAGTAAACAATTACAATGACATATTAAATTGCCTGTTGTTTTCCTAAGGATATGTAAACAGCACACTGATCCAATATAAATACTACATATTGTTATATCGACTTTCCTTTCAATTGAATTTATATTGGAGGTGTAGCAACGCGCGCTGGGTACAGTTTACCATAACGTTGATTTCGCAATTATGGTGCATTTTTTCTGTTTTCATTGCTTTTCACTTTGGTGATTTTCCCAACTACTTCGGCGAGGGAAAGAGCAGTCGATGAATTGGGGAAGGGGGATTGAGGGTAACATAAACTATTTACTAAGATAGATTTAAGTCAGAGTAACTGCCTTATCCACTCAAAGTAGCAGCAGTAGTAGTTGTTGTGGTTGGGTGGTTGCACCGTAGGGCGGTCATGTTTTAGGAAAGATAAAAATCTACAGAAGTGAAGACATCCTACATCGCTGGCTTGACACGAAGCAAGATTTCTATTTTCTTTCTTTTCAGTTTAGTGAAACTATGCCACAGCAACGCGTGACCGGGTACAGCTAGTATATATATATATATATATATATATATATATATATATATATATATATATACATATATATATATTCTAGGTGGAGGAAGGAGAGACTTGAAGGTCTTAATGCTAGTTTTAGAGCAAAATAATAATAATACTGTGCTGAATAGTAAATATTACTGACCCCTACACTACGTTACAGAATTAATAATGTATGAGCAAGAAGTTTACAAACGGCTAAATGTAAGGCAGGCCTTTGTGCTCAATTCGTGACGCATTCAAATCATTCGTTCGTTCCATCTCGTTTATTCTTTCCCAAGTATAGGAGACGTTTCATTGAAGTATTCTCCCTGAAAATTCAGAATTGCTAAATGAAGAATCGTTCAGTAGTGAGGATTTTAAAGAATTCCGGTAACACAGTTTTTCTTGGTTTAGAAGCGATATATTTGTTATAAAAGACATTGCCTAATAGACGTATAGAAGCGATGTATTTGTTACAAAAGACATTGCTTAATGGACAAACAAAAGAAATAAAACATTACATCACACGGCTGTGATCTTATCAGAAATCACCATAATTTTTCTTTTTCTTTTCTGTGTGCTCATTTGTAATCCCGCTTCTCATTCGCCATCTAAATCTTCTTCTTTCCCCGATTCTTCATCTTTAAATTCTTCCTCTTCTCTTTCTCCCTCAGCACGTTCTTTTTCCCTCAGTCAGCTGTTTCTTTCTTTCTTTTTCTTCTTCTTCTTCTTCTTCTTCTTCTTCTTCTTCTTCTTCTTCTTTCTTCTTCTTCTTCTTCTTCTTCTTCTTCTTCTTCTTCTTCTTCTTCTTCTTCTTCTTCTTCTTCTTCTTCTTCTTCTTCTTCTTCTTCTTCTTCTTCTTCTTCTTCTGCTTCTTCTTCTTCTTCTTCTTCTTCTTCTTTCTTCTTCTTCTTCTTCTTCTTCTTATTCTTCTTCTTTTCTTATTATTATTATTATTATTATTATTATTTTATTATTATTATTATTATTATTATTTTTTATTAGTGTTAAAAATATTATAATAATAATTATAATGATTATTATATCGTTATTTCAACTTACTTCTTTTGATACTTCTTCTTTTGATTCCTTTTCGTCTTCTTCATAGTCTTAATTGTTGTCAACGACCTTGTCGTCATATTCTTCTTTTTCTTAGTTTACTATTACGATGACCACCGCCACTATAACTACTACCACCACTCCTTCTATTGGGTTTTTTTTTTTTTTCTGTTTCTTCTACTGCAGTCTGTGTGATTCATGTGAAGCACCCATCTCCATAATTTCCAACGTTCTCTCATGAAACATCTCAGAGTAAATTATTGTATCTATTTCTCTTTCGAGTGTTTTCAGCTTTGAATGTATGTGTTGTTTCTTCAACCTTCATATATATATATATATATATATATATATATATATATATATATATATATACATATATATATATATATATACATACACACACACTTGTATGTAAAGACTGCCAAGGGATATGACCATCTCGTCCATAGCATGTCGTTTAATCCAGTGCAACGCCATACATCATACTGGTATGGAAAAGATATATTTAGTTTATTTGAACAAAGAAGACACCAAGGGCCGCGTTAGTGCAGTCGATAAGAGGCTCGCTTTCAAATCCAGCTGCCAGGAAATGAGTAATCAGGCAGACTTGCAAAAAATGGAACAAAGGAGAAACAACACGCCCATTCAGTGTCATTACCAGAAATCAGAACACTTATAAAAAAAATATACAAGTGATTGTGGAGAGAACAAACTAACAATAAACATCCACAAGACCCCATCAGCAGACTCAACATAAAGCAACATACACAAATGTTCCGTCTACGAACAGGTCACTGCAGGCTCAACTACCACATGCATAAAATAAAGATTGTACAGTCCCCACCGTGTGCCTGTCAAACAGGACCACAAACACCTCAGCACATTCTGCAGACCTACCCACTCTACCTGCAACTTCGAAAAGATATCAGGCCTCAAGAGCACAATGTGTAGAGCAAACTATGGGGAACCATGCAGGGCCTGCAGCTGACATGCGAGTTCATAGAGGCAACCCACCTGATGGTCTGATCTGAGCATACGAAACCGAACGCAGAGAAGAAGTAGACGAAGAAATCCAGCTGCGACACGCTGCAGCCCACTGTCTGTGTTTGAAACCGGGCGGCTCCCAGGGTTTCACACAGCCTCTAGGAAATGGGTACGAGAGTTGACGCTCTGGGGTAAATGGAGGAACGTCGCTGTAGCTACAGAGCTAAGTGCAAACGGCGACACGGGCGGACAATTCTTATCAGTTGTCCGTACTGGTGGCAGAGCACTTATGATTTATAACCGTGTGCAATGACTCTGTTTCACATCTCCCGACTTTACCTTTTTTTTTAAAGAAGACACAACAAATAGATTAAGGCCCAAATGGAGGAGAGGCTTGGCAGATTATTGAGCTTCGAAGTTATATTTGTTTCTTACAGAACTTTGCTAATGAAGCTTCCACACAGAGAGGGTAGTCTACGGTTTCGCTGCCTGAGCTACTGAGTTTAGTGCTTGACTGCAGTCCTGTGAGCTGTCTTTTACCTGTGGAATGCCTTTCATATTCTTTTGTGCAGCAGTTGTGTCGTGGTATTTGACATGGCCGGTAGCCGGTTAACGTGTGATCTGATAAAATACATTATGTAATATTTCTACGTTATTATAGTCTGAGATACGCGTTTACTGCGCGCATATATTTCTGGAGGAGTCGCCGTGTCGGAGCGGCTAGACGCTCGTCGCGGATCGAAAGGTCATGGATTCGCTCCATGACTTTTTTTTTCCAAAATGACCATGGCTTCTAGGTCGACCCAGCATTGAGTGGGCATCAGGTGCACTCCCTGGGAAATAAAGGCGGCCTCAGTGATGCTTACCACATCACCCATCCTGTGCCGAATGGTCTATAAAAAATATGGGTCCATCCCTATTAGCCCTATATGACTAACGTCGTGAAAAAAGGTCCAATACTTTTTTTTTCAAATTACATATTTATAGATTATTCTGGAACTAATTTGTTTGTTGACCAGTTTTTAAAATGCAATACTGAGGGACATTTTATTTGATTAGCGCTGGCACAGGAACGGAGCAAGTATGGGGAAACCCATTTGCTGTTATGTTAAAATGTCGACTACGACTAAGAACAAAAACAATAGACTGCACAATTTATTGCTGTGCCAAATGCACAAAAACATCGCAGTGTCCCTACAAAATGAGAGTTGCCTTTTTGACATTTTAATTAGACGTAGAGATTATTGAACTACCAATAGGTCAATTTATTGTAAAGACACTTGGACAGGCCAGTACATCTAATGTAACAGTTTTGCCCCCATGCAGTACAAGCGGGCCTAGAAATATTTGTTCCAGCAACACTCTACAAACAGAATTTGAAACGATTAAACAAACACTGCTTTCTATCCAGGTGGTTTTCTGAAGCGCCAGTGCCAGCCGTCCAAACCATTTACCATAGAAATGTCAGTGCCAGAAAAAATAAACAAGTGTATATCCATCTAAGGGGAGATTATGTTATGCAGCGTTTATATGGACGGCTCAAACTGCAGTCAGTCAGACTTTTTGCACAGCCATGCCTGTTTTCAGATCTAAAACTACTGTAATTCCAACGCCCTCGGTAAAACTGCATTCAACCAGTGTCGACGCGCGCCAAATAAAATTGTAGGTACCAATTTAAATACAGCAGTGAAGCTGGTTATATGAGCAGAACTGATCGACACATGGAGAAACGAGTCGCTGAGCACAATCCAGTATGGCTAGTAGGCATCATGCAAAAAAAATATTCAAAACTGGAATACCGGCCGTGAAGATCATCCCTCCTCAATAGCACGTCGTCTTTTAAAATCTGGACACACCATAATCAAGGACAACGCATTTTGAATCATTCAGTCAGCCAATGACAGAACGCTAAAGTTTCTTGAAGCTGCAGAGATTCGTCCCTGGCACGCTGAACTCTGTTTAGAGAAAGATTTAGTTTTGACTTCCCGTCTGCCCTGGTAAACCAAGCTGTTGTGTTTTATCGTTGTTGAAATCTGTACTTCAGTTACGAAGGATTCATATATATACTTCATTTTTATAATTGTTACTGTAGTATGAACATCGAAATATGCCAATTAATTGTGCAATCGATTGTTTGTTTTCTCTTTTTTTCAAATTTACAAAGGGGAACCATCGCTTTGATATTTATTTTACTTACTCTAATACACACTACACGTGTTAGGTCGTGAAAATGTATACTTTGCTATGTTTGTGTGTGTGTATGTGTGTGTATATTTGTCAGTGTCTGTGTGTATTCTGTTCTGTTTCATTTACCTGTAAAAAGTGAATCCAAGGCACGAGTCTCACAAACGTTGGTGCGAACGCGGCTCCATATTTCTGAAAGAATACATATACGGCGATCGTGATGATCATAGTTGGTAGCGTTGTTGCTATGTACGTGAATGAAATGGCTATCAACATTCGCGTAGTTTTGCTGCGTCTATGGGAACAACCTGAGAATGAACAAATTACGAGAAAGTTTAAGGAATTTTAAAATAAGTAAATTGTTTCCCACAGAAAAGATAGATTTTTTGTGTGTGACAGAAACATACGATTTAATACAAAAGGATTATATTAACCCTTTGAATAACCCCAGTAGTAAACGTGTTCGCCTATGTGCAACGCTTCTTAAACACGTTGATTGATGATTTGCCAGTTTTAAAACTTTACGTTAAGCAGAATCAAGCACATGAATTGGTCACATTTTACAATTACCAAAGACAGCAATATTGTTGACGTACAATATAGTCACATGTATAGGATGTCGCCTCAAAATATTGATAAGCCACATTCGTCACGCTCATTAAACATCAGAATACGAGTACTAAAGTGTTATATCAAACCTGTTTTGTTGTATGGCAGTGAATCTTGGAATGTGAGAAAACAAATTAAGAATAGTTTTGGGGGCAACTGAGATTTGATTCTTGGGAAGAATGTTGCGAATACCGTGGACTGCCAAAAAAAATAACATTGATTGCCTGGAATTGGCTAATGAAAATATAATATTATATACAACAAGGAGAAGGAGACAAAGTACTCTGGTCAGGTGATGAGAAAAGGAGCTATGGAAATTATTATGACTACTGGGATGATCAATGGTAGAAGAGGCAAAGGCAGAGGAAGAGTAATAATGGTGGACGGCTTTAGACAGTGGCATGGAGGAATATCTTCAGCGGAATTGACACAGAACACTAAATATCGAGATCTACAGAGATGCATGAACACCTACGCCAGCAAGTGAGGCACTTGATAATGATGATGACACGTTGAGGTAAAGGTAACATGCAGCAAATGCTATAGTCTTCTGCTGTGAAGTTTCAAGTCTTTACATATTCTTAAGTAACAGTAAAGACTGACTGACTTTCTATCCCACTAGGACATCACACAAGCGATAAACACCCGATGACACAAAGTGCCACCATGTGGATGAGGATCGCCGTGGAGAGGTCGCAGAAACCGCGTTCAGACAATTGGCCATATTTATGGCCTGCCTATATTGCGGCCCCAGTAAGGGTGGGGCTTCAAAATAACAAAAAAATGCATTCCTAAGAAGGACGAAACTGGATAGAATGCGAACAGTAAAGAACTATTTTCCACGCTTTTATACGTACTGTGCATGCAAGGCTAGACCAATATTGTATAGACTTATTGGTACTTGGTGGTCCATGGTTAGCATAACGACGGCCGCTTTTACTTCTCAGGAGTGCACCTGGTACCCACTCAGTCGGGTCGACCTGGGAGTCAATGCCATTATGAAAAGAAATTCCGGTTTCCGTCAGGATCCGAACCCACGACCTTCCGTTCCGCAAGCTAGATACACCACGGCGACTGCCAAGACATTTTTCAATAGTTATTCTTGTTATTACTATTATTATTAACCTATGTACCGAAACGTTTGTACTAGCACCAACCTGTCAGCCGCGTTGACGAAGAGTCTTCGTTATGGGTTGCCTTCTCCACGCTGAATATACGAATTAGCACGCCAATGTTACAGATGAAGACAATAACGACTGGGGTGATGAAGAGAAGAGCGAACTGGTACACGTAGATCTGAAGTGGCATGTAAATGCTGTCGTGTTCAGGCGCCCCAGCACACTGGTAGTTGTGGTTTTTTACCATCACAAACCTGGGGAAAGATAAACAGTGGTAATATTAGCTTTTACTTTACACATTGTTGTGTGTTCGTTAGGCAGTCAAATTATTTTATAATACACCATAAAATTAACCATGTGATATTAACCACTGCAAAGTGGCATGGTTGTATATACAGGAAAACCGTAGATAACGCGAACTCGCCTAAGAAGAATGTTAAATGTTAAATGTTGTATTTTGAATTAGGAATCTTCCAGTGTGGGTTCCATGGCTCATTGTTGGGGGGGGGGGGGGGATAACAAGAAAAGACATACTGCTTCCACAAGAGTCGACTAATTGGGAGCTTCCTTCGAAGTTGGATACATTTTAATGTGAGGCAAGGATCTGCAGACAAATGACAGATATGTAAAAAGAATATGCCCGCAACACTCAGATTTTGGAACAAGACTAATGTCTAGAGGTGGGCGAACACCCAGAAATTTCCGCCGGAATGTACAGCTGGTGAACAAGAAAAAGAAGAATTTGCAATTTATGTCACAGCAATTGGTATATTCCCATAATTACACTGCCCCCATCCTCAGCAGCAAGCACAGAGATTAAATACCAGTTACAGACTATATCGGTCTGGCTTTTCTCCCAAAGTGTTGTACTTCGAAGAGAAATTGTGCATTTTGCATTGAGAAAGACAAAACAAAAAGTTTACAAGAAGCCTTGCTTGATGACCTGGAGAAATAAAGATTGTGTGTTGATGTATATATTTATATATGTGTGTGTATATGTGTGAGTGTGTGTGTGTGCGTGTGTGTGGGTGTGTACACAATCATACAATAATAGCTTTGGATAAACAAAAACAATCAACAAGCACATAATGGTGATGAATACGATGATAATGATACTTTTCAAGATTATGATAATGAAGGCTATCATGAGGATGATTATGTTACTGACAATCTAAACGCAGAATCGATTTCACTTGCATCTAGGCGCTTAGAACAGATATCGCTACTAAAATTAGAATATAGACAAGTATAATTTTCTTTAACAACAAGGATTCACATTTCGTTCTCGAGATGTGTTTAGAATATTAAAACAGGAGTACTACATGATTTCAAATGCATCGCCTGTTTACTCCGAATACACATGTAAAATTTCATTTCCTTGTTAAAACTTCCGGACGAGCAATGCATCTAATTCTACATATTCTATACTTATGAACCCTACAAGTAAAGTATTCCTCCAAGGTGTTGAATTATAATTGGTACATTCAACTGATTTTTTTTTTATGCAGGGTGTTGCTGATTTTTATTGTCATATTGTTTGTATCCTAGAAATATCTTTTGGCAATGAATTGACGTCTGTTGCAAATGTTAAAAAATGTCGTTAGGAAAAATAACATAACCAGCGTAGTAAACATAAATAGTCCATAACGTATAGTGGCGTTGACTTCTGGGCATTGATGGATGATTCTGTTATATATATAGATGGTTATGTGATTCGTCAGAAGCGAAGTGAATGGGCTTTCACGGCAAGAACCAAATGCTAAAACCAGTAGCATTACAATGGAGGTGATGGTTGCGACAAAGTTCATAGAATGGCTGAAAACTCAGGAGATCACTAATGCATGTTTGCTCAGCAACTGAGTGAGCATGCTACATAAGATCAAGGTGGGGCAATGAGAGAACTAACGCTCTCGCTGGTAGTGCGACTGTCAGGAATGGGTCGTCTATGGACAGGAGAGACATCGTCAATGCCATACGAGAGACTCAACGCTGTGAGGCTTTCAATTTCGAGGAACATATTTTTTCCACTGAATATGCTGCACACCCTAGGTGTACCAAATGTAGCAGCGAGACAAGAAATCCCTACAGCAGCCACGCGTCTTTATATCAACCAGAACAGAATGGGAGTTGTAAGCCTAAAAACACTTAGAGACATACTTGTACCCAGGAGGAAATCGGGGCACGTATGGTCATACCCGATGTTCGATGAAGATGATCATTAAAATAAACAATGAACAGTGGGATATTTCTTTATGCAAAGGATTAGCGACTATGTTGTCGTTGCTGTCAAATTAGCATTTATATGCACTATATCATTGAACGTTTGTTTGAATGCTCATTTTTTTTAAAGTTTATTTTATTGTGTTTTTTAATGCATTACTAAATTATTTTTTAAACTATTATGAGTGCAGCATCGTTTTTGTATTGTAGTGTTCATGTTGGTTTTAATTCACTGATAAAGAATTTAGTCCACACATTCGATTGTTGATTTCCTTTAATTACCCTTAATATTTGTTGACCTTTTTATTCCAAAATTTTCAGCCCAAAACAAATTCTTTGAACTGAGTAAGTTCATCTGGGACAATTTGGTACATATGTACATATACTAATAATTCAGGAAAAGGTTCATATAACTTGTGTTTGTAGAAAGATAGGTTAAACTTTATATTATAGTTGACATGACCAATAAACGTACAGTGAATTGTTTGGTGCGGAAAGAGTTAAAGGTCATGGCCGGCGTTTAACAATTGCACTCTATCCTAGTACCCGGGTTCGATTTTCTGAGTAGATTTGTTTTGACTGTTCTAGTGATTTTCAAGCAGTAGTGAAGTGATATTCTTCCATCACCAGTGATGAAGACCACTCTTTCTTTCATCCGTCATGAAACTATTGTTGAGTTCTGTGAGTCTAGAGACCCGCTATAAGCACAAAACGGGTCTGGAAGGATCTCGTACCATGGGGGCAGAAGACAGTGTCTGTAGGTTAAGGGTCTGTTATAGGGATCTTGCCAGCCTGCTTGTACTGTTCAGTTGCCCTTATTCTTGAAACCTCACATGTCGCTGCCCATCTTAAGATAGATGTCCACTATGTAGTTCGGTCTTGAGCAGGAGCCTTTCATGGTAAATATTGAAGGATTTAGGTGTTGTCTTTAGCCTTTTTTTTTCTGACCAACATTAAAGAGTCTACCTTCCAGTAACTCACCGTACACGAATATTTGTGAAGGCCAATGGTCTTGCAAGCGGACGACGTGACATGCTCCCCTCGAATCTATGACTGCATCAGGATGGTATCGATGCTGAAAATGTCAGCTCTCTCTAATTCGATAATATCAGGGACAGTGTCTTGCATTTTAATTTTCAATAGTTCTCTTAGACTGGATGGGAGTGTTGGGCTCAAGTAGTACAACAGTCGCACTGTGGAACATGTTTGGACCCCACAAACTAGCATTCCCAAAAGCCAGCGGTCGGTGTATTTGTAGCTGTGACAACAGTGTAGGTCTTTTAAGGGATAGTTTGGTCATTTATACTGAGCTGATCATTGGTTAGTATTTTCTTCTGCAATCATCTGAAGATGAAACTACGTTGTGCCCGTTTACAGAATGGCTGCTATAATTGAGCCAACTTTTTTAAAAATGCATTTGTTGACCTGATTAGCGTTACCAGTCAGTATATTCTAATGGATATCTGATATATCTAAAGTTACAGTACATGTTATGTCATTCCCCGCTGGTTTCTGGATTAAAGAGAGTGAGGAAGACTTCCAAAGAATTCTTCAAGGAGTTGGTAATTTGGTTCTCGGGCAGGAGAAAAGTACCTAAATACGGAAAGGACTCTCTTTTACACGACTGAAGCTTCGGGCATATGAAGGAAGTTAGGCGTTTTTATAGACCAAACATCACCGAAAACTGATATGGTCAACCATTACTTCATAGGACATTGCCTGGTACCCATTTTAGGTTGGGTCAGTGGGGGAGCCGAGGTCAGTTATTGAAAATAATTCGATTCGATGCAGATTTGAACCCAAGACCTTCCAGCGTCCAGAAAGGTCTGTGTTCTATCCACATTCTGGTAACTGCATAACATGTCGGTAAGAATGCAGCCGGAATGTTTATGTTTCGGAATTGCTAGTCTAGAGAAAAAAAACCACGTACGTATAGATTCAATAAGATTACAAGATATTCCTTTCTTCGTGTCAATCCTCTCACCGTAAAACTCTATTTAGCTGCTGAGATCCAGCTAGCGATTATCTCAAGCCACCAATTAGCCTCATTGTGTTTATCCAGCTTAAATGTGTTCTGTCTTTGTCTTAATAATGATAAACTTTTTATCCTTCGTTTATTTTTGTCGGTCCGCATTTCCCAGTTTCTGACTTCCTCTCTCAGTGGGTACGTATACAATGTGGTTTGAATTAGGTAACTGTGCCATGAATTGTGTCTAGACATTGAAACAATGCCTAGAAATCCACATTGTGCTCCGAACTTTAAAAAACTAATTGATGTTACCTATGATTTCATGATGCCACGAAATACTGTTTAATTGTATAATGCTCAATATAAGGAGGCATTTATTTTACAGTGTTTGGCATATTCGAAAACATGTTCAGTAAACTACAGTGTTCACACTAAAACACATCAGCTCCTTCTAACAGAAATATGAGATAATAGATAAAACTTATAATACCACATAGCTATATAAACAAATGAGAGTTTTTACCAGGGGATATGTCACATACATATGGTTACTGATGTCGCCTTAACAGATTACACGTGTATAAATCAACCTTGTTGGCACTTTTCCATCTCAAACGAGTCTTTTATGGCGCTATAGAGAGGCATGGGTTTCACAGCTCATAGCAATGGCGTGTTTGACACTAAGACCAGCTCGTGTTCCACAGTAAAAATACATTGGATCTTAGAAGCATCGTTGTCATTATGTGTATCTGATTTATTTCTTTACATACGTTTTCTACAGCGCTCAGTCTGTCTACAGTCCTATCCTTTTTATTATTTTTTTTTCCTTAGCCATTCCTAATGTTTCTCATCTAAGCAATGCGACCCATGGGATCCTGTTGTCAAGAAACCACTTCAATACCTGCATCACTCATGTACCGTTTGTACATATCTTTAACCCGTAATAGAGGTTTTCCGCCACTTCTTTTACCCATCTGTAATTCACAATTAGAAAATGCCATTGTACAATCTACCATCTTCCATGAAACAGCCTAGTGAGCATTCGAAGACTAAGCATTGAGAAAATATTGTACTATCTACTCTTCTCAATACCTCAGTGTTAGCTATCATTTCTTGGAACTTGTCGCGTGCGGATGTGCACTAGAACGCACCAGTACTGAGTGAGCAAATAGGACGTCAAAACAATACGTCAGGTTGTGAAGGGATTGTATTCTAGGAGATGAAAGTCGAAGTTTGACCAAGGCAGTCGGTGGTCCCGCCTTGGTGTGGATCCTTGAGGGTGCTTTACCCTGGGATGCCACGGAAGCAGACGTTGTATACAGTTGGATCCTTGAGGACGTTTTACCCCGGGACTCCACTATAGACCTCAGCAGAAAGCTGATATATTGTCACAGTTCGGCAGTAAGCCGGTATACTTACATTACCTTATTCAGACTGCGGACCAGAAGACAGAGATGACTGTCTGGATCTCAAGGTCAGACTGCGATCCGTCGTGAGAACATATCAGTCCATGGATGTACGAGCGGGCTTTTATTAATGTGTTTGAATGAGTCTGGATTATTAATTGCATATTTTCTCCCTGTGTTGATCATTGCTATTGTCAATACACAAATGGAACCTTTAAAGAGAGTTCTAGTTCCGCTACGTTTGGAAGCTTTTACATTCATCATGCTGTGTTACACTTGGCCAGTGGCATATTAAGTTGTTGATGCCATTTGTTACATTGCGACGCTCTTTTCACCTTTGGTACGCCGCACATCACCACGCAGCCTTTACAGCACGTTACACTGTACGCCAAGCTTTCGCTCGTCACAGAACTTAATGCCAAATATTCTAGCTCCCCTGACATACTCCTTAAACATTTACACTAGATTACCAGACGGTTACATAAATCTCATCCAGTTATGTCCCACAACTCGAACAGCAAATATATCAGAAAGTATAAAATCATAAGTAAGACATTCGGAACTCTTTCAAATGATCCTACAACCGAAAATATGCAACAGTATATGAGTACTAGTCAAGATAAGTCGGCATCTGTGGCCTAGACGTTGCGAACGCGCTTCGTAATGCCGGGGTGCCTGGTTCGATCCCAGCTGCGGACCCTGCGCTTTGCATTAGTTTCGACAATGGTACCCAGATCTGACGTCCAAAAAGCGGTGCCAAACTACAGGTGAAAAATTTGCCTAAAAATACCACAACAGCCTAAAATTATGCGGTTGGTTCTGCAAACGTCATGTAAAGGATAGGCAACTAAAGAGCAAGATGAAGACGAAGAAAAAGAAGACCCTAAACTACGAAAAAGAACCAACGCAGTTCATAGCTCGATGAAAAAAAAAAGTTTTGCATTTTTCTGCAAGAAGAAAACAGAGCAGACGAGGTAGGAGGAGGAGGAGGAATAAGAAGGGGAAGTGAAGGAGATGAAGTAAAAGTAAAAGTAGAATAATTAAGAGGAAGAGACGGAGGAGGAGAGGAGGGGAAGAAGATGAAGAAAGAGAAAGAAGAAGAAGAAGAAGAAGAAGAAGAAGAAGAAGAAGAAGAAGAAGAAAAGAAGAAGAAGAAGAAGAAGAAGAAGAAGAAGAAGAAGAAGAAAAGAAGAAGAAGAAGAAGAAGAAGAAGAAGAAGAAGAAGAAGAAAAAGAAGAAAAGAAGAAGAAGAAGAAGAAGAAGAAGAAGAAGAAGAAGAAGAAGAAGAAGAAGAAGAAGAAGAAGAAGAAGAAGAAGAAGAAGAAGAAAAGAAAGAAGAAGAAGAAGAGAAGAAGAAGAAGAAGAAGAAAAGAAGAAGAATAGAAGAAGAAGAAGAAGAGAAGAAGCAGCAGCCAGAAGAAGAAGAAGAAGAAGAAGAAGAAGAAGAAGAAGAAAAGAAGAAGAAGAAGAAGAAGAACAAGAAGAAAGAAAGAACAAGTACAAGAAGAAGAAGAAGAAGAAGAAGAAAAGAAGAAAAGAAGAAGAAGAAGAAGAAGAAGAAGAAGAAGAAGAAAATAAAGATGACAAAGGAGAATGTCAATGACAATGAGAAGGAAAAGAAGCAACTGCAGCAAAGCAGTAAGGGCGATAATAAATAATTTAACGAAGTCGTTACTTTTTCTGCCATTGTAACAACATTGCCCTTTGCCATTATTTGTGTTAAAATTTCTCTCTTTTTTATATAATTGACATCGACCATATCATTATATTGCTTTCCTTAGTCATTATTTCTAAATTCACCTTTTTTTTTCCCAAAAGCAACAAAAGCAACTACGATCAATTTATTTTCCGGTCATCAATTTTACTGTCGACCATTCTATTACTGAAAACACTTATTAACTACATTATCATAACTGTGTGTATTGTAATCTTACGTCGGCATTCTAGTTACCTGAACACTTGAGTGCAGGACATCACACAGAACAGACTGAAGATAATGATGACGGCTCCTCGCTGTTGGCACCACATGTTTCGACGAAACGGCATATACACCACACATAGCCGCTCCATTGCCATGGCAACGATCAACCATGACGACATCAGGTTACAGACTGCGTCGGCAAATATGAAGATCTGAAATACATTTGCACCTATTAGATAGTGGTTATACACTTGTATCCTCTCGGAGTCTTATTTAATATCTCTTCTTCTCTCTCTTCTGCCATTCTATTCCCCAATGGAGCACAGGCCCTCAACCAACTCACGCCAAGTCATTCTATTCTTTGCCATTATGAGGAGCATTCCCTATGCCCCCCCCCCCCATCTTTCTAACTTCATTCTCCAGCTTAGTGTGTTTTTTAGCCTTCCTTTATTCCTATGCCCCTGTGGGTTCTAATGCAAAGACATTCTAGTCATGCTGTTCTCCTGTTTTCTCAATGTGTGTCCTTTCCCACGCCAGCGTCTTTTCCTCATCTCTTGGTCCACTGGAGCCTGTTTAGTTCTCTCCCACAGCTCTACGTTAGTTATTCTATCATACCATTTAATTCCCTCTTATTTAATCACTAGCAAAGAAATGCCGTGATGTAGCTGCTGGGAAGCACGTCCGCAGCTCTGAAGGTCTTGGGTCAGGTTCCTGACAAAGCAGGATTTTGTTTTCAGAAATTACCTTAGCTCCCAAGTCGACCCAGCCTTAAATGGATACCAGGTAGTATCCTGGGCAATAAAAGCGGCTGGCATGGTGTTGACCACAATCACCTACCAAGTGCCAGCTGGTGTATAACGTGCATGTCTAGCCCTATATGGCCAATACAAAGTGTCTGTATTAAATAGATATAAATTAATTAGAGGTGTGGTAAGTATCTGTTTTATTTGTATTATCATCAATGCCATTATCATTTTCATCAGTGGCAACTATATCATCACTATAATCATCATCATTATTGAAGTCATCATCATCATCATCGTAATTGCAAACGACTGTATCATCAACATTATCATCACCGCCATCATCATAGTCATCGTCGTTAACTAAACGCCATATGACAAAGGCTAGAAGCAGCGACGCCTTGTTTGCCTACTGCCTATTTTAATATTTAGATATATTTCATAGGAGGAAATCTTTTCATATCAAGCATTATAAAGTCTCTCTCTCTCTCTCTCTTTCTCTCTCTCTCTTTCTCTCTCTCTCTCTCTCTCTCTCTCTCTCTCTCTGTGTGTCTCTCCCCCCCCCCCATGGTATGCCCCTCTCTTTCCATCTTACTCTCCCTCTTCGCTTCCACGCTGGCTTTCTCTCTCTCTCTCTCTCTCTCTCTCTCTCTCTCTCTCTCTCTCTCTCTCTCTCTCTCTGTTTCTTTTCCTGGAGCAATTCCTACTTGTTTGATACATTTTACCATTTAATATATTATTTTCCAGGTTTCCTTCTCATTTCAGGTGATCTCCGAAAAAAAGAAATTTTCATCTGACAGTGAAAATTTCCGTCGTCTGTTGGCCTTTATCAAATGACATAGTTATGAATATCACAGACGAATAAAAAACAATTGTGTCGATAATTAGAATTATACATTTTTTTTGCTGGGCAGAACGATATTTAAAACAAGTGCGTCTGCATTATCGTTTTACAATGGCCACACGCCCAAATTATACCATATCTGCATTTTTGTTTCAAATTATGATCGAGTTGTGGATCATTATGCAATCACTTTAAATGGAAAAAGTCGGTTGTTGCTCATTAAAATAAATGTCACAGAAAATTTCTTTAAATACCGTGGATCAAACACTTCTATTCTTTAAATTATAAGCATGCGGTTAGCATCTGTAGCTAAGGAGTTGTGAATATGTTTCGCAATTCCGAGGTGTCTATTTGGATGTCAGCTGCGAAAGATTTGGCAGCATAACGCTTTGTGTTTATTTTCATAATATCAAGAGCCGGCCGTTTAGTGCACTGTTACACTACCCAAATAAAAATTGCATTCTGAAACCAAGCAGCAAAAAACTGAGGGGGTTTCTTCTGCAAAGCCCTGTACAGAACACGTAACTAATGTTTTAAAATATAGTAGAAAACTGGCTAATGCACAGCAGTGTATCAGTTGCTTAAAGTGTTGACCGCAGAAAAGGTCGCAGTAGTATACAGCAGAATCGCAGTTGACACTCACGTTCGTTCCTTAATGAAGAGCAGAAGGTAGCCTGTTCATTTGACATAGGGTCCACATTATGAATAAACTTATATGAGGCAGATGAACTGGCAAATGAAATGACCGGGAGACATGCAAATTAGCTGTGTGTGGAGGCAATTGTCTGCACAGTAGTTAACACATTTATTATTTTTTAGTTTTAGATATAATCTGAAAACTAAAAAAACAGAAACACGGCTGCCGAATCCAGAACTGACTCTTGAATACTGGACTCAAATTTGTCTAAACTACTTATACGGGTAAAATATATATCACATATTTAAATTCTTTCTCCGAAGAACTGCTTAAACTTCACTAGTGCAGTTTTTACAGAGTACATATGTATGTTAGAACTGTTGAGGTTTTTCAGAATGTACAAGGTTTTTAGGTTTATAATATATATGTGAACATTAGTAATGAGCTCTAGTTACAAAATAATCAGAACAGTTGCTTACGTATATATATATATATATATATATATATATATATATATTATATATATATATATATAGTAAGCAACTGTTTCTGATTATATATATAATATATAATATATATATATATATATATAATATATATATATATAGTAAAGCAACTGTTCTGATTATATATATATATATATATATATATATATATATATATATATTATATAGTAAGCAACTGTTCTGATTATATATATATATATATATATATATATATATATATATATATATATATATATAGATAATATAATTTGGGGTAATATCTGGCATTAGTTTAAAAAAAATATCATTACAAGGCAGTGTGAACAACAAAGGGCTGGAAAGCTACTAAGATATCTGCCCAAAGAAAATTACAAATTTGATTCCATAGGCACCAGTATGCGCGACACCTTCGTTAGAAAATATTCGTCGAGTATGCCAATCAAAGAATTCCTGTAGGACTTAGAAAAGCGTGGTTCTCTTTAGGACACTGTTTGAAATCACCAGCCTCGAACATCAGTACACTAATGTCTTTAGCGATGATTTCTTTATAAACCCTGTCTCTGCATTTGAAGATCAGAAAAGAATCAAATGTATTTGTTGGTGAGTATGATAAACCAATCGATTCATGTTCCTCATTTGCTAAAAATGCTTAGTTATAATAATTGTTATCTTATTTCAAAATATTGCCAAAGCATTGCTGCAGGATTAGGTCTTTAAATTAATATATCTGTGCCATTTTAGTCAGGATCAGTGGAGTCCCGTACTCACTTCAGGTCTTGTAAAATTGGCCGGATTAATAATGACATTTACAGGTAAACTGATGGCTGACGACAAGAAAGTGCATTTGTTCCATTGGCCTCACCCAATATTGTTCTGGCTAGGGTTAGTTGAAAGATAATATTATGAAGACTTTTAATAACTATTGTGCTGTGTTTTTATTGTGTGTGTTGTGTGTGTGTGTGTGTGTGTGTGTGTGTGTGTGTGTTTTTTTTTAAAACTATTATTAGGCACACACAAAAGACATGAACGCACCTTGCAAGCATCATCCGAAAATCTGTCAAATAGTCCAGGGACCGACATGATTTCCTCCACCATGTGTATCTCTTGTGACACTAGAACCAAACTGTCGAAGATAAATGTCAACTGTAAGGTAACCCAGGACAACTGAGGTGGCATCACAATAACAATTATGTCTCACGAACTATATCAGTGTGAATACTTAGTATACCCTAGGCCTAAAACTTTCTTATTGTGTTTTATACAGAAGTAGAGACATTCAAGCTGAAGCAGCATTATAACAACGAGAGATTATTTTTTCCTTATACAAATAGAAATGTCACCAAAAGTATGCCTGGAATTGTCTATGATATATTAAAAAAAAAACTGATTTAAAAAAAAAAATTATGAAGTGCAGGAAAAACAAAAACACTTAGGCAAATCATCATAATCATCATCAGGTGCCTTGCCGACTGGAGTGGGCGATCATGCCTCTCCATAATCTGCGATCTCCTGCAGCATGAATCAGTTCGTGTGCCGACACACCTCCATGCCATGCAACAAGACTGTCAAGCATCTTCTCTCGTTGTCTTCCTCCATCTCTCCTTCCACATATCTTTCCAGTGGTCACAACATGTTCTATTTTCCCTCTTCTCATAACATGGTCGAAAAATGATGACTGTCTCCTTCTGATGTCTGTGATAAGTTGTCTTCGGTCTCCCGCCTCTTTCAAAACCTCTTGATTGCTCTTTTTGGCTGTCCAAGGTATTCTAAGCATTCTTCTGTAAAACCACATCTCTGAGGCCTCTAAAAATTGTTTGGCCTGCCTACCGATTGTCCATGATTCACAGCCATATGTTACAACTGGACGTATGTAGCAAGCAAGAATTATTTTTTGAACTCTCAATGACAAGGGTATATTGCGCAAGATGTTTTTCATTTTATAAAATGCAGTTTTTGCCTTAGGCAAATAGGTTAACAATTTTAAATGATAAATATAATATACAAAATGTAATTATGACCATGCCAAACTTAGAATACACTAGTATGTATATAAGTAAAGGAACCGTCTCCATGTCATCAGGCATATTGGGCATATAGGGTAGACCTACATTTTATAGGCTTATCGGCAAGCTGTAGTTGATGAGGTCAGCATGCCGCCAGCCGCTTTTACTTCCCATGACTTTTCCTGGTAACCACTGAAGACTGGGTCGACATGGGAGCCAAGGTCATTTCTAAAAAAGACTTACGACTTTCCTATTCGCAGGCAAACGTCTACCCACTACACCACAGCGACTCCCATATATTTATATATACACACACACACGCACGCACACACAAACATGTTGGTATGATTATAGTGTTATAGAATGATGAATCTATTTTTTTTTAAACAATGGGAGTTCTTTTATTGTTGATTTCAATCTGTCTTTATTTTTGTCCTAAAGTAATTCAAGATCGTTCCATTTCCGTCTTTTGTATTCGTGTCTCACATAATTTGACTACAACCTATAATATGCTAAGCACCTAATCTGGCTAAATTTCAGAACTACTCGTCTTCTTAATAGCAGTTGATTTAAGTGTCCCTGCAAAAATCTATACCACAACAAAGAGTGAACCGAGTTGATACCAAGGCTTGATATCAGCGTGCCTTAAACGTGATTTCAGTTCATTCAGATTTCTCACATCTTTTCCAGGATACTAATTTACTGTAACGGTTTAGTGTCATACATGCTGGAAATTGTTTTTCTTTGATATGCGCTCCTAGGTAGATCTAGTCTTAAAAGGGTATCAAATAACTCTTCCGTGAAGTGGAAAGGCAAGTGTCATGAACGCAGTTGTGAGTGTACCATTGATGTGCCCTTGTTTAGGGGTTTGGGGAAGGGGGGGGGGGGTTGCTTGGGGAAAAAGAGGGGGGGGGGAGAGGCGCGAGTGTACTTTTGGGACATAAGTGTTGAACGTGAGAGTGAAAAGTTAGTGGAGAATAAATTGATAGTGACAGTTTGGTTTGTAAGGACTGACAGCGTAGATTTTTTGCTCCAGCCAACGAGATTTGCAGCTGACGTCACCAAACTGGGCTAACGATACGTTAACGCAGTGATTCTCAAACTGGCGTATGTCATGTCTTCTGTGGCAATAATCAAGAATTATTCCAAATCTGCTTGAAATTAAATTTGCAGTTTTTTTTTTTTATTTTTTAGTATTTAAACCACTGTAATGGAAAATTGGGCCGCGACATTTTTTTTTGGGGGGGGGGGGGGAGGCTGAATCGAAAGAAAGTATGGGAAATGTGATGCGTTAAAGTTTTCGTTAGCCCGGTTTCGTTAACGTTTCCCCATGCCCCGTCGGTGACGTCAGCAGCATGACCTGTCACCTGGATCTAGTTTGAGTTTTTGTTTTCATGTGTTGGATATGTGTAGCTAACAAAGTCAATATCGACCACGTCAACGACATAGACAGTTTTCATGTGTTGGATATGTCTAGCTAACAAAGTCAATGTCGACCACGTCAACGACATAGACAGTTTTCCATGTGTTGGATATGTGTACGCTAACAAAGTCAATGACCGACCACGTCAACGATCATAGACAGTTTTTCATGTGTTGGATATGTGTAGCTAACAAAGAGTCAATATCGACCACGTCAAACGACATAGACAGTGTCTTTGGTATGTGTAGCTAACAAAGTCAATGTCTACCACGTCAACGACATAGACAGTTTTTCATGTGTTGGATATGTGTAGCTAACAAAGTCAATGTCGACCACGTCAACGACATAGACAGTTTTCATGTGTTGGATATGTAGCTTACAAAGTCAATGTCGACCACGTCAACGACATAGACAGTTTTCATGTGTTGGGTATGTGTTTGTTAGCTAACAAAGTCAAAATGTCGACCCACGTCAACGACATAGACAGTTTTCATGTGTTGGATATGTGTAGCTAACAAAGTCAATGTCGACCACGTCAACGACATAGACAGTTTTCATGTGTTGGATATGTGTAGCTAACAAAGTCAATGTCGACCACGTCAACGACATAGACAGTTTTCATGTGTTGGGTATGTGTAGCTAACAAAGTCAATGTCGACCACGTCAACGACATAGACAGTTTTCATGTGTTGGATATGTGTAGCTAAAAAAGTCAATGTCGACCACGTCACGACATAGACAGTTTTCATGTGTTGGATAAGTGTAGCTAACAAAGTCAATGTCGACCACGTCAACAACATAGACAGTTATCATGTGTTGGATATGTGTAGCTAACAAAGTCAATGTCGACCACGTCAACGACATAGACAGTTTTCATGTGTTGGATATGTGTAGCTAACAAAGTCAATGTCGACCACGTCAACGACATAGACAGTTTTCATGTGTTGGATATGTGTAGCTAACAAAGTCAATGTCGACCACGTCAACGACATAGACAGTTTTCATGTGTTGGATATGTGTAGCTAACAAAGTCAATGTCGACCACGTCAACGACATAGATAGTGTGTTTTTCTAGTGTCTTAAATTAATCTCCGTTTGATACTTTGTTGAAGACAGTTCTGTCAGTTGTGACCGAAGAAGGTTTCTGATAGTAATGGTGTACAGACAGTATGACCGAGAATGTCATGGGTCTGAAAATATTAAAATGTCATCATCTACTAAATAAGCGTTAAGTCCGTTGCCTTGCAGAAATATTAGTTGAACACAATGCCGTTAGTTGGCAATTTGTTCCAGAGAATTTGTCCTCCCCTAAAAATTCTTAGTCAGTGACTGCTAGAACACCCTTCATGACATATCTATATATATAAAAATCAATGTTTGTGTGTTTGTTTACAGTCTATAGACTCGGAAACTACTGAACCGATTTAGCTTAAATGTTTGTTTTGATACCGGATGTTTACGCATCAATGTTTGAAATTAAACCTGTCATTGTTAGAGATAGTGTGCGACAATTATTTGAAAAATCTTTGAAACTAATATTTTAATTTTTAGTGACATATAATTATGGCCACGTTAGTTAATGCGCATGTGCGATCGATTTTTACCGTGCATGCGCAGTAGTGGCGCTCCATTGTCAACATCCGCCCGCGACATTTAAGTTATATTACAAGGAAAACGATTGCCATCGGTTTTTAGTTGTGTTATCTAGAAATTTCTAGAAAAGTAAGAGTATTTATTTCAGTAACATTAGTCACTATGTACATGTTTTTTGTTTACTTCAAACAAGTGTGGACCACTTCTTAAATCCCGCAATGATAAATGTATACACAATACACATTATCATTAGTCATTATCTGTTATCTTTCTCATACTCATGAGTAAAACTGTTTTGGTTGGCTTTCTTCTATTATTCAAAAGAATTATATAAATTTACATGACATTCCGTCTCAGGTCAGTGTAAAAATCTAGAAATATCTCAACAGGTAAGCGCATTTATTTCAGTGACATCAGTCAGTATACATGTTTTTGTTAACTCCAAACAAGTGTGGACCACTTCTTAAATCCCGCAATGATAAATGTATACACATTATCATTAATCATTATCTGTTATCTTTCTCATACTTATACTCATGAGTACAACAGATTTGGTTTCCTTTCTTCTGTTATTCAAAAGAATTATATAAATCTGCACGTCATTCCGTCTCAGGTCAGTGTTAGAATCTAGAAATATCTCAACAGGTGAGCGCATTTTTTTCAGTGACATCAGTCATTATGTACATTTTTTTAACTTCAAATACATGTGTGGACCACTCCTTAAATCCCACAATGATAAATGTATGCACATTATCTGTTGGCTTTCTCATATTGTCTTATATTCCGCCTTTTCTTACTATTTGCTGCCCAGTTTCTATGCATTTCCTCTTGAGTCAAAATAGATTGTTATCTCATGCTCATATTTTTATTTATTTCAGCGATACTTCAAGTCACATTTCATTCAGTGCGTGAGGACGAACAAGCTATTGATGATCAGCACTCACTAAATTCACACGCTGTTCACTATTTTGTCAAAATTTGCAGTTATGCCTCCCAAACGACAAGCGATTGGCCCATCTACACCTAAAACACGCAAGAGAACGGCATTAATTGCTTCAGAAACAGACGAGCAACGTAAGGTAAGACTGGGAACCATTCGAGTGC